ATAGGGGGAACTGTTGCTTTTTCTTTCCTCATCCTTTCTATCGTCATTTTCCTCTACTTCTTTTGTATGTTTGTCACTCTCTTGTGACCAGCTATTTCCCGGGTGCCATGATAGTTGAAGCAGACTTTGTGCCGTTGAAGCTAGAGAGGTGAGCAGAGTAAGCCTGATTCCCTGTAAGGACTTCTCTGTTGACATCCACCCCTTGGCGCTCATATGACCTTATGCAGTTGAGAGGGCAGTAAAATCTACTAATACTAAAAACATCTCTCGTCCTGATCACTCTTCCTTCTTTTTCGTGTTTGTTACTCTCTTGTAACACCTCTAATCTTCGGCACCTATATGGCCTTATTGTGTTGCAAGTGCCGTAAAACTCTTACTACAACTTAAACAAGTCTCCCTCTGTGTCCCCGAGCAGGCAGAACTGCTGATTCAGCAAGTCATCGCCGAGGTGAAGGAGCCAATCACGGAGCAGGTGGATGTGCCCGGATACTCTCTGGGCCGGATCATTGGTCAGTCTCTGTGCCGCTAGTAGATTCGGGACTCTCAGATAGACGTGACGGCCTTGAATATCGCGCTGTCACGTGGGTGGTTGGCGGGTGCTCTGGTGTGGTTTGCTCCTTCTTTCCTATCAAACATCTATCGTCCTTGTCCCTCCTCCTTTTTTTTGGTGTTTGTTACTCTCTTGTAACACCTCTAATCCTCGACACTTATATGACCTTATTGTGTTGCAAGTGCCGTAAAACTCTTACTAGAACTAAAAAACGTCCCGGCTCGACCCGACCTCACAGTGGGTTCCTGCTACGTATATTATTTAATTAATTTTTTTTTTGTCCGGTGTCCTGATTTTAGTGCTGGTATTTGTAGGTTACGTGAAAATGTATTGACGTGCAAATTGTTCTGTTTCAAGAGCCCCCCCCCTTCAAGAAAAATAACAATAAAAAGAGGAATTGTTTAGTCAGTGATGATGATGATGATGATGATGGTGAAAGATTCAAACTAAACTGAATTTTTTTTCTCACTGATGGTTGGAGGGTATCATTGGTAGGTCTTACTCTCTCTTACTCTCTCTCCTTTCCTATCAAATATCTGTTGTCCTTATCTCTCCTCCTTCTTTCCTATCAAACATCTATCGTCCTTATCTCTCCTCCTTCTTTCCTATCAAACATCTATCGTCCTTATCTCTCCTCCTTCTTTCCTATCAAACATCTATCGTCCTTA